CTCACTAGCTAATGGGGGATCCAGGTGGAATTCAGTTACTTCATGGTTGGAAGATAGAAATATTTAAACTCACAACCGTCATTATTTTCACTTTCTCTCTGTAGGTTGATGCTACTGATGCAAGCTATCCATCAGTCAACACATGTGTGCATTATCTTAAGTTGCCTGAATATTCTTCCGAGGAGATCATGAGAGAGCGTTTGTTAGCTGCTACGATGGAGAAAGGCTTTCATCTCAATTGAGCCTTGAAGTACAATGGGAGACATCAGAGACTTTCAAAGTACTAGTGAAGCCTCTTGTGTTTGTGTGCAGAGAAGTGTATGATCCTCCACGCTAATGACACTTGCCTTTTTTTCCACCATTAAGGCTTTAAGAACATGTGGAATAAGTTTGTTAGCTGCTAATGACAAAACAAATCCTTTAACTACCCAGCCAGCAAGCATATAGCACAGAACTCTGTGTTGCTTTACAAGGGCTTATGTGACTGGAATAAGGTGGTCCCACTTAACTGTTCCAAAGAGCAGCTTCCCAGATCTTCAGTGTTCACTGGTAAATTTCTAACAGCGTATTTGTGTAAAGTTTGTCATTTCATACTCCATACACTACAGTTGCCATCACTGGTCCCTGTTTTGCTGGCTTTTAAGCTACTTGGTCAAAATCCTGCTTTCTTAAAACATAGAGAGTTAACAAGCATCTCAAGCTTTTTCTTTTCCTTTTAACGATGCCTGCACTATCAGAGTATTCTAGTGTTCTCTCTTCTGTTTGGCATATAATCATGCACAACCTTTTTATTTCTTTGAGGTGGGAGTATATTTTTATTTCCTAAATACCATTCTATAAAGATCAAATTTCTAAGTGTGTTTGTGCAGCTTAAAAATAAAGATATATTAAGGGGGGGGAGAAAACACTGGTCTAGGTGCAAGGCACACTTAAAGCAAGTTTTACTTTTGGTTGTATTTTCTTTGTATATTATAAACATTTATTTAACTTGTTGCAGTTTGAAGTAAAAAATTTCCAAAATGTATGCTCAACAGTAATCATTAAAATGTTTGCAGCGTACAAAACTGTGTCATGTGACTATTTCACTGCAATCATCAGACCTAAGAGTTCAGCCAGATACTTTTCATTTCATATCATTCATATTTAGTTTTCTGAAATGACTACATAAAGAAATGTATTTTTTTTTTCTGGGACTCCCACATATTTGACAGAAGATTGAGTCCTAGACCCCAGCATGTGTGCATGCATGCCCAAAATCCCAAGAGGAGAAGGGATTACAGTGAGGCCATCTCCCCTGGGGTGACTTCTTTCTGTCTCTCTGTCTCTTGTCTCTTTGGTGAGCACACATGCCCTATAGCAAAGTCTCTCTAAAAAATAAACAAATACATTTTTTAAAATTTATTTTTCTGTAGTAAATATATATAATTTGGAAATTGGAAGCTAGAAGAAAAAGAATTTTTAAGTTTTTAGTATTTATGTGAGAGAGAGATTTTTGACATAGTCTCACCACTTTGGGATTCTCCTTGCACAGCCTTTCATCTAGCTAGGACTACGGCATGGTGACTGCACTTGGCCTATTTTAGGTTGGGGTAAACCAAACCCAGGCCTCCCATAGGACTTCAGCCTGCAAGTAGCAGCATCTTTGCAGTGTGTCCTACTGAGGCTCAGCCAGCAGGAACATTTGAAATACCAGATTTGCTACTTACATTCTGTCTGCTGGAATTTGTAAGTCCAAGCTCCAAGAATGATCTTAAAATGTTACTGTGAAGAAAAACCACCAGGATACTGCTATTTTCTGGTTTTGAAGAAGGGACTGTACAAGGGGACTTTAAAAAGTTCGTGGAAAATGGTGTTAAAATGAGTTTATTTTGGTGCAAAAATTTTTGAAATACATGCAGATTTTTTTTTTTTTTTTTGGGAGAGGTTTTTGCCATAGGGCGCATGAGCTCGCCAGAGAGACAGAAAGTGAGAAATCATCCCCCAGGGGGGATGGCCACGCCGCAATCCCTTCTCCTCCATTCTCTCGGGATCTTGGGCACGCACGCACACGCGCCCGGTGTGAGTTTTAAGCCACTGGGTCCAGGATGTGAACCCCGGTTGACTACGTGGGAGTCCAGCGACATAGCCATTACTATAACTGCTGGTCCCCCAAGAGCATGTTTGAAATCGCCTAATATTTACCTGTTTAAAAGATGTATTTCCTTTCTACATTAGAAGAGATTATCTCCCACCATAGTTGGTGATTTGAGTACTATTAAATGTTACTTAATTGTGTAATCAGAGGTAGCATTTAAATAGTCTCACCAGGACCATCAGGTGATGTAGTGGTTTAGGGTGCTGGACTCCTACATGGCTGACTGCAGTTTGAGTCCTGAACCTGGCGGCTTGCTTTCTAATTCCTCCGCCCCCCCGCCCCCGCTCTGTCCCTCAAAATAAATAAATAAGTGAAGTTAAATAAATAAGTGAAGTTAAATAAATGAATTATTTAAAATAAAAAGGTCTCACCTTATTGTTAGCTTCACAGTTCTCTAAGAGAATAAAATAAAGCATAATAGTAATATTTACAAGTATGACCTGTTTCCATCTAGACTAGTGTTAGAGAATTAAAATACAGTTTATGTATGTCATGTTGACATTATTTAAGCCTAATATGTCTGTCAGAAGTCAGATTTTACACAGGAGTCAGCAAACCATGGCTTGCCACTTTTTTTTTTTTTAATGTTTTTGCTATAGGACTTGTGTGCTCATATGAGAGATACAGAGAAAAGTAGAGAGGGAAACAAATCCCCCCGGGGGTGGGGGATGATGACCATGCTGCAATCCCTTCTCCTCCATTCACCTCTCAGGATTTGGGGCACACATGCACCCGGCATGTTTTTTCAAGCCACCAGTTTGGGACTTGTACTGTGAAGTTGGCAATATTGGCGATATGGAATCCAGTTTGTCAATCTCCACTCTACCTGTTGGCCTGCCACTGGATCTTATATGGACCATAAACTAAGCATGGTTTAAAATTTTTTAAATGGTTGAAAAATTAATTTTATGATATGAAAACTATGAAATTTAAATTTCAGTGTCTGTGAATAAAATTTTATTAGAACACAGCCATGCTTATTCATTTATGTATTGTTTATGGTTGTGTTTGCACAAAAGGGGCAGAATTGAGTAGTTAGCAGATACTGTTCAGCCCACAAACCTAGCATACTACAGTCTGCCCTTTACAGAAAAAGCTTGCTGAACCTTGGTCTACCAAGTTGTGATGGCAGGTAGATTGGTAAGTCTTATAAAATCAGAAACTATTTGAAGTGTCAGAAATCTTCCACAAAAACTAAGGAAAGCTGATCAATAAGAGACAAATTATGTGTGTGAAGAATCATCAATGACAGCCTGCGGTACAGGTAGTCACGTTACAGTTCCATCTGCATGAGTCAAGTGTTCCATCTGCTGGGGTCTCCAAATTACTGTAAGTTCTTAAGTATTTTAATGTAATAACTACTTTATATTTTTAAAAAACTGTTGTTATTTTCTCAAGGTACTAAAATCTGTGCCAAGATGTAATTCAACTACTATTTTGGTGTGACCCAAAAATTAATTTTGTTCACTCCCTAGCTACTTCTGGTGTACCAGTTTCAGCAGTTCCCTGAATGTGCTACTCATTAAGTGCCTACCAACTAGGACAGTGTTTCCCAACTAATGTGTATCAGAAAGACCTCCAAAGCACTTTGATCAAGACTGGGCTTTCCTCAGACCTTGGCTACTTAATGCAAAGGTGGATCCGTACACACACAACCAACTCATTGTTCCCACAGGTTGGAAGCCTTCCTGAATGAACCCACAACAACTCAGGTTTTCTTTCGCGATTCAGTGTTGATTGGCTGGGTCTACACTGATACCAACTTTGAAATATATAAGCAGATTTTTAGTAAAGGGTAAAATATTTTAAAAAAGAAAGGCCACTCCCCCCCACCACCAAAAGAAAAAAAAAAAAAGGAAGGGGAGGGGGAACCAGCACAGTGCTGAATAATCAGTTCCTAGAATGTCCATTTATCTCCTCTTCTGGAGGACAGTGTTGTAGATGAAAATTCTTAGAATGTGAGAGGATGACACAGTATCTGAACGTGCCAAAACTGAATTTCCATTTCCTACATTGCCCCTGTCTTCTCACCTCTACATGCACACACTCATGTTTTTACCTAGGGCAGTCCTATATATTGACTGAGCAGAAAAGCATATAGAAAAGTTTTGGTCTGGACAGGGATGGTATAGGGTATTGCTCTAGTATGGTGATATAGTGATTTAATTGTTTGCTTCAAGACATACCATGTGAAGGTGTTATAAAGTTGTAAGTGTTGGGGAGTGAGAGCAGGATTCATTGATTTCTCACCAATCTGAACAGAGATTGTCTTGCATTCTATTTTTAAAACTTTGAAATAAAGTTTCATTAACTAGCTTATTAGTTACAACAAAGTCTTTTAAATGTAGCATAAAACATAGTTTTAAGGACTTTTAATTTTAAACCATTATTTGATGGTAACATTCTCTTACAGAGTTAATAAATGATGGTACTATAATTTCTAAATAGCCTTAAAATTGGTATCAAAGGCTTTTAGAAAATGGCAAAGGGGTGCCAGCCAGATGGCGTGGTGGTTAATGTGGCTGGATCACATGTGGCCTACCGTGTGGTTTGCGTTCTGGATGGTGGCTTGAAAACACACCAGGTACCATATGCACGCTGCCCAAAATCGAGAGGGCAGAAGGGGAGATTGCTGCGTGGTCATTCCCAGGGGTTGCTTTCTCACTTTCCCTCCCTCCCTTTCTCCAGCAAGCACACATACCTATAAAGAAAAAAAAAAAAGGTAAAGAAAGGAAAAAGGCAAAATCTAATTCTTCACTCTTTCTTAGATACACATCATAGTCAAGCTTTTAAAAGGAAATTTCACTCAGACTTTTTAAGGAAAAAGTGTTCAGAAAACAATGTTACACAAAGTAATATGTTTAAGTCAATTTAAAAATTTTATTGGCTGATAGTGAACTCCATACTTTCTTCCCATCATGATAATGTTGCTGAATTTAGTTTGCAAAAGGAATCAGAGACCAAAAGCAATTCCTTAGGTACTGAACAAAATTTAAAGAAGTGGGAAAAATGTTCACAGTTATAAAATAAAACTACAGTTCAGAGAAAACTTCTTCATGCAAATTTTAAAATTCAGGTTTTTTTTTCCATTTAGGTACTCTGGGAAATGCATTTATAATGTCTTTGGAAGATACCTAATTTTGCAAAATGTGATCTTCTAAATTCTTTTCAGGCTACAGATGTTGAGATGTATTCCATGGCATTCACATTTTCTATGAATCGATGTTGTCTGGAAGAGTCCTTCATTCAGCTCTCTGACATCTTATCAAGAATTAGTAGAGGAGCAAGAATTCTTGACCGGTTAGTTTCCACAATGCAGCCATTTAACACCATCTCATCCAAAATGATGTGTACTTTATCTAAATTAAACATTATCTATGGTCATATTAAGGAAATTAGTGTTAAAGCTATGAAAAATGCTAACATTCAGTAAGTTACAACTGATGGCTTAGCCTGTAATTTTCTCAGTGTAAATCAGCCAAAGTACAAGATTCTTTTTGTACAGAATTCCTAAAATGCAATTTAAAACCAGTGTCCATATTAGAAAACCATTACCGTCATGTATATATATATATATATATAAACTTAGTCTCACCTTAGTTAAGCTAATAGGGTAAGTAGGCATAGAAATGAAATTTTAGCTAAGGGAGGAGTCTACTAAGAGGAGAATGACCTGACCTCAAAAAGAAACCTGTATTCCCAGATAATAATAACAGCAGCAATAATTTGATGAACACTCATGTTCTAGGCGTTATGTTGAGTGTTTTATGTATTTGGTTGTTAGAAAAGTTGTGACGCATCTCTTCTATGTTTTTCTATGCAAAAATGTGTCATGACTTTTCCTACAACTCAATATTATTTTAGTCTTCTGAACAAGTCTCTGATAAACATTTCATACTAGCCTCAGTTTTCCCAGAAGCAAATAGGCTTTAAAACCATTGTTCAAGTTCACATGCCAATAAATGCCAGAGTTGGAATTTAGACCTAGAGTTTAGGCTTGACTGCTCTTCATCCCTTCTTCAACCCCCAAACTTCTATTCCAAAACATACTTTTACAGTCTTGCATTAGCTGACTTCTCTGTCAGACAGAGTGGAGTATAAATAACTGAGGAGACCTGGATGAAGAAGGAAGGCAAGGCATGCTGACTCAATTCCCAAGTAAATCAAAAGGTTCTGAATTTCAAGAGGAAATGGATAGTTCTAAGAAAACATTTGAAAATTATGGGGGCATTTTAGCTTACTGGTGTCTTTTTGTTAAGAGAAATGTTAAAAGAACAATTTTCTTTCCTTTTTTTTTTTTTTTTTTCTAAATTCGTACTTTTTTTTCCATGTGAGAGACCCCTCAACAATGTCCTGACACTGCAGTCCAGCCCTAGCCAGCCCCAAATTATGGGCACATTCACTTGGCCAGTCTACTCAGGGAGGTCTTGACATGAAATCAGAGCCCTCCCATGTGGATCAGCCTGACAGAGCTGGGCTTCACCCTTGTACCATCTTCTGGCTCCCAGCTTAATGGGGCTCATTGGAACGTTAGTAAAGGACATGGGGGAAGAAGAAAATAATGGCTGGACTATGATGTTCTAGCAAACTAAGAACAACTTCATTTGAGTACAACCCCCATAGTTTTGCTTTCTGTGGTTTTAGTTGTCCATGGTCAACTATGGACTGAAAATATTAAATGGAAAATTTCAGAAATAATTACTAAGTTTTAAATTTTACCCCCTTCTAAGTAGTATGATGAAATTTCACACTATCCTTCTGGGACACAAATCATCCCTTTTTCTGTGCTGTATATGCTACCTACCTGTTAGTTACTTAGTAGCCAGTTCAGTTATCAGATCTAAAAAAATAGAAAATATATAGGATTCTGTATTATCTGTGGTTTCAGGCATCCTCTGGAGGTCTTGGAAAGTATCCCCCTTATCTTGGATAAGGGGGAGACTACCATAACTAACCTTTGTGTGTGTGTGAGAAAAGAAAAGGGGGAATTTCGAATGAGATGATGACAATGGTTGAATGTCTCTGAATTCTACCCTTGATATCTGAAGTTCTTTCCCATCTATACTTAAAGAATGTAATTCTGGTCTGTTAGGAAAACAGAAACACACAGCTGACAGATTGTTTCAAGTAGACACACTTCATTCAAAAATAGGTGATGAGACAACTTTATAATTACCAAATGGATTTTTGTAAAGTGAATTGTTACCACTTGAGTTTTTTCAGCAATTCCAGATTCAAAGTCTATACTGTATTTTCTCAGCAAAGCACATCTACAGAGAATGGAGCAACCTGTGAGTGACTTTTCAGTTTCTATTAGGTTCTTTGTTAATATCTCATTAAGCTCTGTGCAAATAGTCTTCCAGCAGAATAAACTGTTTTTCAGGTGCTCGTGGGAACTGTCCTTAAGTGACCCAGAAAGGGAAAAAAAAAAAAAAAGGCTTTACTCAGATATATCTATTAATAATTTAATTTTCCAATTATATAGATGATTGCTTTGTCCCATGGCCAAACTGGGTCTAGAATGTTAGGCCCTTGACTCAAACTTGTTCATCAAACCCAGAAGCTAGACCTTAGAACTTGAGACCAAATGGGAGTGTCAGGCAGGTACACAGAAAGACTTGGTTGAGCACAGGTAGCTGCATGAAAAATGGCCTGTAGGCTCCCCTGTGTATTCACTAAGGACAGTGTGAGCCTTAATGCCTTTCAGAATGTCGATTCTCTAAGATGATTTTCTTTGAGATAGAAGAAAATTAAATTTTAATCTGTTAGGTTGTCGGGAAAGTCATGACATATTTTTTCTAGGCAAAATAAATGTCATGCCTTTTCCGACAACCCGATATTTGAACTGATTCAGGGATCTAACTGCTCTGAGGACTTCTCCATCTTTGGTGAATAGATGATCTGCAGTTCAGATGTTCCTTTAAGCAGCTGCCCAACTGTTTTGACATTCAGACCAGAATTTACTGCTGAATCATACCAACCACTGACAGCCACATATTGCAAGGACAAGGACCTTCGGCAGGTCAGAATTTCCCAACATCCTGGAAACACGAGTTGTTTGGTGAGGTCACTCTGTACTATGGGCATGTGACCGCCTGCCATCTGAGTGTCTGGCTCAAAGCCTGACATAATCATGCAGCTTTCTGGTACTATATGGGGGAACCACAAACCAAATCCAATATGAGGCAAAGGCCTGAAAGCTGATTTCCCCCTGGAATCATGTGACTCCTTTAAAGTAAGAGTCCAGCTGTTGGTCACGCCTTGATTTGGTTTATGAGCAACTAGTGCATACTGGAGAAGCCAAAACTAGTGGTATTTGGGCCATATGCCAGGTGAGGAGAGACCTCCCCCCCCCGCAAAAAAAAAAAAAAGAAACCCCACAACACTGTATGTCAAGCCCCATGGCAATAAACATAGACAAACCCTGAGGCCTGGAATAGGAAGAAACAAGAGAGGCCAGATTGTTGGTCTATAAATGGGTGAGCTGAGAAGGACTACTACTGAAGGTGTCCTTACCTTCAGGCTCTGCTAAACTTGACTGATCCTTCAGGCAACTCCTTTCACCTCATGGGCTCCGAGCTTGGGGTTGACACAAACTAGAAACCAACTCTCAAAGACCAGAGTCACTAAAGTCCCACATTCTCCTGACCTTGAATTGCAAGAGCCTTTCTGAGTTTCTGTTTAATGTGGACTGAAGCTGAAAATTGTAAGGCCCCTGTAATATTAGTGCCACTTGAAAACACTTTTTTAATTAAGGTGATTAAAATCTTTATGGGTCTTATATTGGAATTTTGATCTTTGGATCATGAAACACACTTCCGACATGGTATTTTACAACCACTATGGTAGCCTAGTTATCCCTTAATAAGTGAGAAAATTGTGCTACATGGACTCAAATAGAATCTCAAAAACAATTCTAGGGCAGAGCCCAGCCTAGAAACTAAAATTTCTAGTTCTAGACTTTAGTCTCAGATCCCTTGGCTTCTCACTTGACTTTTTTTTTTTTTCTTTTTTCCTTCTTTTTTAAAGATTCTAGCTCATCAAGATTTTTTAATACAGCTAAGTAGAGTAGGAGAAAACTTGCTCTTGTTACTCATATTTCAATTCAGTTTCCCATAAAAATATATAAGCTGTCAAGAGCCACTGACTTCACATTTCTCACAGAAAATTGACTACTACTGTATTTAAGATTGTCATGAAGTGTCTGCTTAGTCCCAGAGATACTCTCCTCCTAGTATACGGTCTCCTGTTCACGTGTAGGCTTCATATTATCTCTTGTTAATTAGGCCACTGAGAGAGAGTGTACCTTTTCCTTTTTAAAGTAGATTTTCCTTAAGACCCATTCATATTCTGAGAACAGGACAGATGCCCAGGTGTGATTTTGCTGAAAGTTTATATAAGCTTATATAATATTAAATATGAAAGTCAGCACTAGGTCCAATGAGCCTGCTGTTTCTCTCATTTTCTCCCTCTCTGTTGCTTCTCGTTATTTACTGTCACTATTCCTGACTAAAACAACCTAGAAGCATGGAAGGGATGGAGTGGGCTGAGGGTGGGTCATGTATATCTCCCACACAGGGCTGACCATCGGTGCCATCTCTGATTGTGTAGAAAAGGGGAGAAGAAATAGTTCCTCTGAATTATGGATTACCTGGAGAATAGCAAGCCTCCTGGGGCTGTAGAAGAAGGCATCTTTTGGGAAGCCTGTCACCTAAAACAATTTCTTAATTCATGGAGTTTGAAATTCAGTAAGTCTCCCAAGGTACAGGACTGGAGCAAGCTTTTCCCACAGGCACAGGCTTCATGAGTCCTCAGGCAGCACTTGGCCCTATGATTGGAGTGGGATGTGAAGTGTGGACAGGGGCTTATCCACGGCCCATGAATGATTTAGGTCACTAATGTGCTTTGTCCCAAGGGGGCAGTATGCCCACCTGATACCACTGCCCCAAAAGTTTCCGCTTACTGGCAGGATTTCCAAAGAGCCGAGCCAGAACTGCTGTCTTGATTTCTCATGCTAAGGTGACTTCTTTTTAAATCCCACCTGTCTTGCTCTGTATGTTAGTCTTATTACAAGAAGAACAAGACAATACTGACGAGAAATGTAAATGGCACATCTTATTTCTTAGAGTCGAACTATGCGAGCTCTGGGAAACTTAAGGGGAAAATCTGCAAGTAAGGGACTTTTTGGGACTTCACTTTGTCTTCTGTTGCTGGACCAAACCAGGCCTTAAATCATGTCTATTCCATGTACACTGACAAGGAAGGCTTTCTTAAGCCCAAGCAAACACACAAAAGATTATGTGCTCTGAGTGTCGGCAGAACCAGCTCCAGGTTGTGATTTAAGTGCTGGCTTGTTTTCAGTCTTCCCAAAGCCTAGGGAGATTTTCATGGTACAGCAGACCTGAGCAATGCCACCTACTCTGGCAGCTTCCAGGCTATCTGCTACCAGAATGCTGATGTGGGACATGTGGCCCTGCCCAGTGGGAGAGGAAACTGTGGCAGAGCCTTAAGAAAGCTCCCTTGCCTGCAGAGGTCCTTCCTGGACATGCATGTGCCAGTTAAAAAGAGTCGGGTAGGGGGGCCTCCAGATGGTGTAATGGTTACATTGCTGGACTCCCACATAGTCAACTGTGGTTTGAGTCCAGGGCCAGTGGCTTAAAACTTGCGCCAGGCACATGTGCATGCATGCCCAAAATCCCAAGAGGAAAATGGAGGAGAAAGGATTGCAGCATGGTCATCACCCTTGGGGGGTGGTTTCTTGCTTTCAGTCTCTGTCTGTCTGGCAAGGGATGTGTCTTATAGCAAAATATCTCTCTCAAAAATAAAACAAACAACTGGTAGGAAGCAGAGCAGTTTTTTGTTTAATTTTATTTTTTCCCAGAAGGCTGAAGATGTAGCCTTTTAAGAATGTTGGTAATGTTGGTAGAAGAGGGATGCACATGCCCTACTCTACTGCCTGCTCCACTTTCAGACCACTGTAGTGTGTTTTAGACAAGGTGCACCAAAAAATAAAATAAGAGAATTGAAATTATCCCAGGAACAAGACACAAACTTTCAGATCTGCAGAGATTTAGTTTCATTTTCTTAATGATGTAAAATTCCTAATCTGTCAGATGGATTTGCCTGAGTAATTCCCAAGGACAGTAAATACTCAGCTTGGTCACAGGGGCAGAGAGGGCAAAATGAAAACCAGGAAAAATGAGGGGAAAATATATTAACTATATCTTGGTGTAGCAACTAAATTCAAACAAGAACACCGGAGCTCATTACACGGACTTACACTGTACACCAGAGGGATACAGAGATAAGCACTCCTGCTGCTACTCTAATAGTAACCCAGTCACGGTGCCACAGCCACACCCCTACTAACCCAGCACTAGTCCAGATACAGACCTGTCTTCACTCTAATTCTCTCATTATTTAGATGGGCAAGACCTTTCTGTTTTGGGTGATGTAATTATTTGGAGTCAGGCCAACATCAAATATTAAGGCTGAAGGAGTGTTAAAGCTCTTCTAGTCAATTCTCTCATTTAACTTTTTGTTGCGCTTTGTCCAATACTCACAGCTAGTTAGTGGCAAGACTGAAGCAGAACCTTAGTTTCTGTACTCCCAGAAAATTATCTTCTGGCCCAAATTATCTTCCTGCTAGCTTTTTAAAATCAAAAGAATTTTTGTTTTACTCACCTGTACAAGTAGAAAGATAATTAGTTTAAACTGATTTAAGGGCTTAGTTGGGGCTGGCAGGTGGTGTTGTGGTTAAGGCGCTGGAGTCCCACATGGCTGACCATCGTTCAAGTCCTGGACCTGGCAGCTTACTTCCTCACTTTCCCATTCTCTCTCTCATCTCTCTCTGGTCAAATTTAAAAAGAAAAGACAATAATAATAAATTGAATGAAATAAATATTTTTAAAGTAAATAAATGGCTCAGTTATAAATGTCGCATGCTGAATAAAAAGATACTCTAATACATACAGCCTAGTCTCAGGTCTCCTAGGTTAAAAGGATCATATATTTAGGTCATTCACCACTAGAGGGCACTTAGATTTCCCCAGTTAAAGAATGTCTGCAAATGAAGTCTATCAACATGGTATTTCCTATCAAAGAATAACTGGCAAATGGTCATTTCCTCAGAATATTAGTTAGATGCAAACATACTGGTTGTGAGCACAGGTGTCTAATTTACACACACACACACACACAAATATAAACATGCACATGAACAAATAAACATGATTTTACAGTTCATGTGTTATCTACTAAGTTTATTTACATATATATGTACATATGTAAAAACATGCTTGTTATAATTAATGTGATTGTTTTAGATTCAAGTGTGGTGTGTTCTCAAAGGACTCCTTTTTTTATTTCAAGCAATCAGCAGATTTTTGAGGTAAAAAATTAATTTGCTTCCAGAGCATTCATACAAAGCCTAGTGGGATATTGCAAAATCTGTAGGCCTGCAGTATTCTAAGCAATTCATGTTACTATTGGGGGTCCTTGGATACTTTGTTTTTTGGTCTTTTCTCTTAGAGAGAGAGGTTTTTGCTATAGGGTGTGTACACTCGACAGAGAGACAGAAAGTGAGAAATCATCTCCCCCACGGGGATGGCCACACACAATCCCTTTTCCTACATTCTCCTTTGGGATTTTGGGCACGCATGCACAAGAGCCTGGCATGAGTTTTAAGCCACCAGGTCCAGGACTCGAACCATGGTTGACTTGTGGGAGTACAATGATGTAACCGTTACATCATCTGCTGGTCTCAGATACTTTGGTTTACAAGAGAGAAAGAGAAATGAAGGAGAACTTTCTCTGCTATAAAAGGAAATTAATATAGGGGCTACCAGGTGGTGTGGTGGTTAAAGTGCTGGACTCCCACATGGCCAACTGTAACTTGAGTCCTGAACCGGCAGATTGAAAATCACACCAGGCATGTGTGTGCATGCCCAAAAATCCTGAGAGGAGAATAGAGGAGAAGGAATTGTGGTATGGCCATCACTCTGGGTGGTGATTTCTCACCTTTCCTCTCTGTTTCTCTCCAGCAACCACGTGCACCCTATGGCAAAAACCTAAAAAAAAAATAATAATCAATACAAACCAGGCAATTTCTTTAGCCCTCTAGTTTGTCAACCCTGAAGGTTTTATTCTGAACATCTAGAAGATTTCTGAAAATTTATATTAGGGGCACTGAAAAGTCCAGTCAAGAACTTTATGGCAAGGGACCAGAGGTGGCATGGTGGTTAAGGCATTAGACACCCACACAGCTGACCACAGTTCGAGTACTGAACCTGGTGACTTGCTTCCTCGCTTTCCTTCTCTCTTCCTCTCTGTGTCTCTTTCTCTGGTCATATTAAAATGAATGAATGGATGAATAAAATTAAATAAATAATTATTTTTAAAAAAGAACTTTATGGTCATGTTATTGAAAATTCCTGTTCTATCCTATTGAAGGGATTACACTAATAGGTAGTAGTTATTATTATCTATTACTACCAGAGCACTGCTCATTTGGGAAGAAATATCTTAATAAGAATTATCTTTGTAAGTGTCGGGAAAGAGGATCGCTCTGCATGATACCTGCACACACCTGTGTCTTGCCATAGTCGATGATAGACATTCTGGATTCTGCTGAATCATTTTCCTATCCCATGATACTTACCTGATTAGGACTAGAGTATGCTTTGCCAAGTTCTGGGGAAAACAGTACGGAAAAAGGATACGTCTAATTCACTCTGGAAAAAAGAAGAGTGCAAGGGTAAGAGGGAGACTCTGGGGCATGACACTCCTAGCAGCATGAGCTACAGCCCTGGCCTCCAAGTCTGGGAGCAAGGAGGAGAGGCTGTTGCTGTCTATGTAGAAGTCTGAAAGTGGGAAGGCATTGAGTTGGGGATTGTGATTTTTAAACAGTCAGGCTGCAGTCCAGAGGACTTCTGTAAGTCAGAGCAATGCATCTTTAGTAAGCAGAGGGAATAATAAACCAAATCAACCTTTCAAGATGATAGGTAATTTGATATGTGTATCAGAAACCTTAACAATGTGCCATGCCCTTTGAACCCATTGGTTTTTGTTCTAGAAGTTATTTCCTTAGGAAATAACTGGACAATGATGCAGTGATATGTGATAGGATGTTTGGGTGATGTTTATAACGGCACAAATTACTGGTAATACTCTATCAAAGGGAGACTAGCTAAGTAAATTATAGCATATCCACAAATGACGATATAGATACAGAAGTACTGACATATTAATAGAAAAGCAGTTTATAAAATGACATATACAGTATTATCCCACATACACGTCTGTGTACAAATAGAGATACAGTTGTATAGATATAGACATAGATGTGTTCAATCTAAAGAAAATGTGCCCAATCAGAGTTATCAGTAAGCGATGAGTCTTCTGATGATCCTCCCCTGACTTTTGTTTTAAAGAACTATTTACTGGGGAAACCAGCAGTTAGCGTAATGGCTATGTCGCTGGACTCCCACATAGTCGACCGCGGTTTGCGTCCCGGACCTGGTGGCTTAAAACTCATGCCGAGCGTGTGTGCGTGCGTGCCCAAGATCCCGAGAGGAGAATGGAGGAGAAGGGATTGTGGTGTGACCATCCCCCCTGGGGGGTGATTTCTCGCTTTCTGTCTCTATGTCTCTCTCTCTCTGTCTGACGAGCGCACACGTCCTAAAAAAAAGAGAACTATTTACTGAGACCAGCAGATGGCATAGCAGTTACATTACTGGACTACCACATGGCTGACCACGGTTCAAGTCTTGGACCCAGTGTCTCAAAACTCACACCAGGCATGTGTGTGTGTATGCCCAAGATCCTAGGAGAAGAATGGAGGAGAAGGGATTGTGGTATGGTCATCCCCCTGGAGGGTGATTTCTCACTTTCCCTTCTCACTGTCCCTGTCTCCCTCTCTGGTACATGCACGTACCCTATGACAAAAATCTCTGGGGGAAAAAAAAAGAATTATTTACTTAACTATTATTTATTATTTTTAAAATTTGCTATAGGGCAATTGCACTCACCAGAGAGAGACAAGAGAAAGACAGCAAGAGAGAGGGTGAAAAAGTAAACTACCAGGTCCAGGACTCAAACTGTGGTCAGCCATGTGTGACTCCAGCAGTTTAAACACCATTCTACCTGATGGCCCTTGTCTTGACTTTTTAAAAACTTTTTTTTTTTTTTAAGCAGTTTTAGATTCACAGCAAAACTGAGAGAAAGGTACTAAAATATTCTATATCCTCCCTGACCCACACATGCATAGCTTCTCCCATTCTAAATATCCTGCACCAGAGTGCACCTTTATTACAACTAGGAACCCACACTGACTCATCATTATCACTCAAATCCACAGTGTACATTAGGGTTCATTTTTGCATTGCACTTTCTATAGGTATGGACAAATGTATCATGACATGTATCCACCCTCTTCCTTCTTTTTGCTTGTGTGTATTTTAACTGTTTTCCAATGAAAATGGATCTTTAGATGATGAACACAGAGAGAAAAAAGTAAACAGGACCAAGTTCATATCTGGAAAGACTTCAGGTTTGTCGAATGCAGCACTGAAACCCTGACACGCTTCCTCAGCGGCAACAGCCCTCACTTCTTGCAACACTGCCTCCGTTGAAGCGAAGTGGCTTGGCTTTTTATTTTTGAAAGTGTGATGCCGAGATGATTCTCTCAGCCCAGACAGTATGAGACTGATCTCTAAATTTAAGATTTGGAAACTTTCTAAGATTGAAAATAGCCCCAGAAAGAATGTTTAAAATTCAGAAACCTAAAAATAAAGTTTATATGGCAAAACATTCCTCAGGAGTAGGACAGATTCTATTTTCTTTGCCATAGTATTCTTTCCCTCTTCCTCTTCTTTTTGCTATGGTTTGATCCCAAATCAGGTCACCTCTTAGTGCAGTCCAAGTCCTGCATAATCACCTGGCTTAGTTTAAATTCTAATCTTTACTTCTGTGGTTTATGTGGTCACTGACTCTCTCCCTAAAATTATAACTGTAATTCAGCAATGTGCTATTTATTCTCAGTTACTGAATGTAATAATCATAATTTAAAAAATCTTAGCAATGATAGTGCTTACACCCACTTCTTATTTTCCCCAGGTTTAAAATCTTGTTATTTTGGGAAATTATAATTCTTGGTGAGTATAGATTTAAAGTGGCTAATCATGGCCAGCTCTGAATCACAGACCCTGACTTGTCACTAGTCTGTATTTATTTTTTAAGTTTATTTATTTCATGAGATAGTAAAACAGAGACACAGAGACAGTGACCTCAATAGACACAAGACCCCAACAGGGTCCTGATACTGCAGTTTACCCCTAACCCCAGCTGGCCAGGACCACTGTATGCCTGTACCTGCCTGATGTGCTCAGGGGGGTTCTGAGAGGCAAACCCAGGGCCTTTCCACATGGCTCCAGTTGCATTATTGCTGTGGCACCACCGGGTCCAGCAACCAGTCTGTCTTAACAAAGGGAGAGCTTGCCACGAGACAAGCAGGAGCTAGAGCTATGCTGTCTAACATGGTAGCCATCATCTCATGTGGCAATCAAAATTAATTTAATGAAAAACAATTTTAAAAATTAAAATGTTGGGGGCCAGCAGGTAGTTTGGTGGTTAAGGCACTGTACACTCCCCCATGACTGACCAGGGTTCAAGTTCTGAACCTGGTGGCTTGGTTTCTCACTTTCCCTCTCTCTCTCTGGTCAAATTTAAATAAGTGAATGAATAAATTAATTAAATAATTCGTTAAAAAATTAAAATGTCAATTTCCCAGCTACACTAACCACATTTTGTGCTCAAGCGCCATCTATGGCTACTGCCTGATATATCAGATGCCACGGGCGTAGGACATTTGTATCACTGCAGGAAGCTTTACGGACAGTACTGGTCTTTGGTGCTCTCCAAGTGATGAACATAGGGAGATTTATGTATGAGTATATATATGATTAATACATATATCTTTTTTCTTTTTCTTGTTTTTTAACATAGGGAGATTATATATATATATATACATATATATACACACACACATATATATATAATGTAATTATATTCATTTTATATCATATTAATATATATATTTTCTCTTTTAAATTGCCAGAGGCACATGTGCTTGCCAGAGAGAGAGAGACAGAGAGAAAAAGAGAGAGGGAAAAAGCTTCCCTAACCCAAAGTGCATGATCCTGCAGCAATCCCTTCTCCATTTTTCTATCCTATTGGAATTTATTGAACATGTGTGCACACATACCTGGTGTGTTCTTCAAGCTACAGGGGCCAGGACTTGCACCATAGGGTTGGCCATATGAGATCTGGCTCCCTTAACCACTAGGCCCATGGGACCTGCCCCGGTAACAGATTTAAAAATATATATATTTAACTTTATGTACTATTGTTATTGTTTTCCAGTTTGGCCAGAGAGAGACAGAGAGAGAGAGGGAAAGTAAGAAAGGAAGCCACCAGGTCCAGGACTTGAACCATGGTTGGCCATGTGGGAGTCCAGCACCTTTAACCACCATGCCACCTCCTGACCCTAACAGATTTTTAAAGCCAGTCTCAATTCTGTGTCCTCAAGGTCAGGCTCTAGAATGGCCTGACCTCTTGACCTCTTCCAGCCTTGGAGGGCATCAATCCCTTAATGGCTATATATAATACTACATTGTAGGCCACTAGGAATCTTCCCAGCTCCAACCCCTGAATTAGGAGATGTCTGACTGTAAGCGTCATGTACTAAGGCAGTGGGTTTTAGCATGTATTAGAACAACCTGGAAGGCTTACCAAACCATAGACGGCAATGCCTCAATCCAGAGTGTCTGATACCCTCCCACTGTACTAATGCAATAAAGATAGGCTAGTTGGGACCAGCAGTTAGCGTAATGGCTATGTCGCTGGACTCCCACGTAGTTGACCGTGGTTCAAGTCCCGGACCTGGTGGCTTAAACTCACGCCGGGCGCATGTGCATGCATGCCAAAGATCCCGAGAGGAGAATGGAGGAGAAGGGACTGTGGCGTGGCCATCCCCCCTGGGGGGAGATTTCTCGCTTTCTATCTCTTTGTCTCTCTCTGTCTGACGAGCGCACTCTCCCTATTGCAAAAACCTCTCCAAAAAAAAAAAAAAAAAAAAAGATAAGCTAGTTGGCTGTACCATGAAGGAGTTTATAAAACTTCACTTTTGGCATTTAGCATTGGGCTGAAAATATAACTTCTTTTTTTTTTTATTTTAAAATTTTGCTATAGAGCCAGCAGGAGGTGTAGTGGTTAAGGGTGCTGGACTCCCACATGGCTGACTATGGCTCGAGTCCCAGACCCGGTGGCTTGCTTTTTCACTTTCCCTCTCTCTCTCTCACTCTGTTCTGCTCTGGTCAAACTAAAACAAATAAATAAATAAAGTGAAATAAAAATAATTCTTAATTTAATTTTATTTATTTATTTATTTTTGCTATAGGGCACATGTGCTTGTCAGAGAGAGAAATTGAGAAAGCGGGGTCAGCAGGTGGTATTGTGGTTAAGGTGCTAGACTCTGACAAGGCTGACTGTGGTCAAACTCCTGGACCTGTAGGCCTGCTTTCTCACTTTCCCTCTGTCTCTCTCTGGTAAGTGCACATGCCCTATAGCAAATTAAATAATAATAATAATAAATACCATTAAATAAACAATTCTTTTTTAAAAAGTTAAACATGGGCGTAGCCATGAGAGCACAGGTATTAGGGTGCATTCCTTGATATGGAGCCATACGGGAGGCTTGGTTGACCTGAACATGCTGGAGATGCCTGCTGGCACCTGTGATCCTGGCTGGCCGGGAGGCTAGAGGAAGGATTGTGGTGTGGCAATCCTCACCTCTTTTTCTATCTCTCTCATGTGAGAAATAAATAAAATAAAGTTAATGGGTCAGTTGCTGGTGTGGTGGTGAAGGCAGCTGGATCCTACATGGACGACTGCATGGTTTGAGTACCAGACCCAGCAGTTTGAGAAACACAGGTGCATGTGTATGCATGCTACAATCCCAAAAATAGGAGAAACAAGCTTCCAGGTCTGGGACTGAATCCACAGCTGACCATGTTGGAACCCAGCACCCTTAACCAGCACACCACCTGCAAGCCCCTGTATGAAATCTTTAGAATAGGCAAATCCATAGAAACAGAAAGTAGAGTAGTGGTGGGGCCAGCAGATGGTGTAATGGCTATGTCGCTGGATTCTCATGTAGTCGACCATGGTTCGAGTCCCAGACCTGGTGGCTTAAACTCACACTGGGTGCGTGTGTGTGTGCATACCCAAGATTCCAAGAGGAGAATGGAGGAGAAGTGATTGTGGTGTTGCCATTCCCCCTGGAGGGTGATTTCTCACTTTCTGTCTCTCTATCTCTGTCTTTCTGGTGAGCGCATGTGCCCTATAGCAAAAACCTCTCCAAAAAAAGAAAAGAAAAAAAAGAAAGAGTAGTGCTTACCTAAGGCATGATGGAGTAAGTGGAGGAAAATTATTGGGGGGGGGTATCAATGCTAATGAGTATGATGCTCCTTTGTTAGGTGATAAAATTGTGACCTGAAAGTGGAATGGTGGTTAAGGCATTGTATTCCCACATGGCCAACCATGGTTCTAGCACTGGACCCAGCAGCTTGAAAATCATGCATGTGTGCCCAAATCCCAAGAGCAGAATGAAGAAGAGACTGTGGTATGGCCATCTTGCCTGGGAGAAAAAAATTCCTGGAACCAGTAGATGTCATAGTGGTTACATCATTGGATGCCCACATGGTCGAGCATGGTTTAAATCCCAGACCTGGTGGCTTGAAAATCACACCAGGTGAGAGTGCTGGCATGCCCAAGATCCCCAAAGGAGAATGGAGGAGAAGGGATTATGATAGGGCCATCTCTCCTACCCCACAGGGGGTTGTGTGTGTGGGGGGGAGACAGTGATTTCTCGCTTTCTCTCTCATTGTCTTTGGTGAGCATACTCTAAGGCAAAAATCTCTTAAAAAAAAAAAAAAGAATTCCTAAGAATTTTTATAGTGATGGTTGTGCAGCTCTGTGTAAATACTAAAAACTAATTATATACTTTAAATGGGTGAATTATATGGCATTTAAATATTTCATTACAGCTGTTAAAATGTAATAAAAACAACTGTTAGAAAGGAACTCACATATTCCTCAAGGGGAGTTGATTTCTGACTCTCAAAGCATGTGTTTGGATGGAAATGATGTTAAAAGTAGACAGGGACTTGCATCTTAGGAAGGAAAGCAGAAAGAGTAGGAGAAGAGAGAGCAAGCAAAATAATAAAATTTTAGGACCAGCAGATGGCGTAATGGTTTCATAGTTGGCCTCCTATCTAGTTGACCACAGTTCAAGTCTCAGACCTGGTGACTTAAAACTCATGCCAGGTGCATGTGTGTGCGTGCCCAAGATCCCAAGAGGAGAGTGGAGAAAAAGGGATCACGGTGTGGCCACCCCACCAGAGGGTGATTATTTTCTAACTTTCTATCTCTCTCTCTGTCTCTCTGGTGTTCACATGCGCCCTATAGCAAAACAAACAAACAAACAAACAAAAAACTACAAACAAAAAACTCTCTCTAAATAATAATAATAATAAAATTTCATTAATTGAGAGAAAAGTAAGAAATTCTTAGTCTTTTAGAGCTCATTCTTTATAAAGATCAAAGCATACATAGATTTGTAATACTTTGGATGAGCCAGAAGGAAAGAAAGAAAATTTGGCATCATTTGAATTTTAACTTTTACTTACTAAAGTTCTAGATTAACACGTGTTCTTAATATAGATTCGAAATTTCTCAATTTCTGAGAAAACTAGGCTGAGGAAGAAAATAATTTTTTAGACATTAGACTTACCACTCGGCTGAAGTACTCATCTAAAACCTCCACAAAGTTATGGATAAATTCATAAATAGCCATTTCATTCTGAAATAAAAGAGAAAGAGTACAATGGACTTTAATATAGTCCTTCAAACTGCCCAACTATTTCCCAGGTTTTAAAGCATGAGTCCTAGCAAATGGATAATGTGAGCCGAGTGGCTCCCCACTGACAAATATTCAGAACATCCCTACTGCTCATTTATTTAAGAGATGCTTATCAACAGGGAAAGGTAGAAAACCTTACTTTTTTTTTTTAATTGCCAGAGGCTGTATGCTCTCACCAGAGACAGAAAGAGAGAAGGAGAAAGTACCTCCTGATGGGGTGTGGTTGCACGACAAACCTTTCTGCTCCATTTCTCCACCCTCTTGGGAGTTTGGACATGCAGGTACATGTGCACGGTATAGGCCACTGAGCCAGGATTCATATCTCAGCTAGCCATGTGGAATTTGGCTCTCCTACTCACTAGGCTATGGGGAGACCCAACCTAAGAGTTCTTTTAAAAAGTCCATGATTAGTCTGGTTGGATTGAATCCTTACAGTCTAGTGTGTGGAGTTCTGTATTCCACCATTCCCTGACTTTATTGCCCACTGGCTTAAGCATGCTTTCAGGTTCTTCATGCCATCATTTTCCATCTGTGAAGATGGAGAAACCACCTCAAAGTTTGTTTCATAGATTAAAAACAATCAACTGAGATTTCAAAGCTTTTAGAACCAAAACATACTTTCAGGGATTCCTTGGCCATATGTGCTATTTACCTAGGAATGACATTTATGAAGAGGTGAACTAAATGTGAGGAGATTTAATCACAACACAATCATATATATCGGGAAAGTTATTGTGTATTTTTCTATGCAAAATTCTGTCATGACTTTCCTGATGATCTAATAGTTTGTTCTGGCTTTTGATATGTCAGCCCATTTATTTATTTATTTATTTATTTATTTATTTATTTTAAAGCTAACCAGAGAGAGACAGAGCGAAAGAGATGGAAAAAGGGAAAGTAAGAAAGTAAGCCACAAGATTCGGGACTCGAACCGTGGTCGACCATATGGGAGTCCAACGCCTTAACCACTGTGCCACGGCCCCAAAGATTTTATTTAACTTTATTTAATATTTATTTTAATTTGACCAGAGAGGGATGGAGGGACAGTGGGAATGAGAAAGCAAGCTGCCAAGTCTGGAACTCAAACCGTGGTCAGTCACGTAGAAGTCCAGCACCCTTACCCCCCATGCCACTTGCCAGCCCCTGCCAGCCCATGTTTAATGTCACAATTAACTGACCTGTACATGTGTCTAAGCAGCACTACTGTGCAACAAAACAAGGGTGGCCACTCGTATTGCTAAATGCAGAGAAAGTTTTGTGTTTATGCCTCTCTACTTTATAAGTGGATCATTGAGTCCAAGAAATACTCTGGATATTTCTCTTCAATAGTCTTCCCTAGCCTGGATAAAAAACAAGATCCTTAAAAAGAGTCGTCATAATTCTTTTTTTTTTTTTTCAGAATTATTTATTTGATTTTATTTATTCATCCATTTATTTTAATTTGACCAGACAGAGACAGTGAGAGAGGGAGGGGAAGTGAGAAAGCAAGCCACCAGGTCCAGGACTTGAACTGTGG